CCAACAAAGAGTGCTAGTGTCTGTTACCTTACCACTTCTTAACCAGCACATTAACTAGACTACCTAACAGTTTTTTAAGGCGGAAATGCTCACAGTTTTACAGTTCACTTGAGTGTTACAGGTGTCAAATATTTCTCTCATGGAACAATAACATTTTTGTTATTTTAGAGAACTGAAAGGAAAGCACAAGAAATAGATGGTGTATGACATACAAGAAAGGTCCCTGGTTTTCTGCACAAGGCGCATAAAGAATTGTATAAAATGTGTGAAATGACCTAAAATGAAATTCAATAGGCCTTGCTAATTCATGGTGGAAAAATATCAGTAGCCAGTATGGCTGCCTCCTGGCGCTGAATGCAAGTAAAGGGCACAGTCTCTAACATGATGAAGCATAGTTTTAACTCATTGAACACATGGAGCTAGCCGGGCATCAAAGCATTAAATCACATCTCCTCAGTGAGCTGAATCCAATCTTATACTGTTATACTGTGTATACTGACCCTTCGCCACTAAGACGAACAAAACACTTCCACTTCCGAAAGGTATTGACACTACTCATTTATCATTCTTGGTAGCGTTTTTTAATGTGTCGTGTATGTTTGGAATTAAGATAAATGTTCTGTGGAAGAGTTAGTGTTAGCTACTCATTCGCTAGTGAGGTCATCGTAATGATGTTTATCTGCATTAAAAAACCAAGATCGACATTTTCCAAGATTTTGTCTCCTCTCCTCTTCTGTTTTATTCACTCTGCCCTCTTCCACTTACTCATCTCATTTCTATGTCGTTAACATTCACTGACTCCCTTCTGCTTGCCTTATCCACTTTGTCTCTATCTATTCACTCTCTTACCCTGCATCCCACTCTCCCTGCCTCTTAGTGCAGGTTTTGTTTCCCCGCTTAATTGAGGCAATGGCAAAGATTGTAGTGTGTTGAATCATTGATGACTTTGAGCTGCATTTGAGTACACGTGTATTGTACTTGCACATATACATTTGCTTTTGTCTTTTCATTTATCTTTTGAAGCTGGCTTATTGAATAGAGGATGTGAAATATTGTAGGTGATGTGGTAATCAGACTCACTGGAAGTAGGCTGTGGGTGCAAGCCTACTGTTGGCAGAATATATGAAATTATCCTCCCCTTCCACTATCTGCTTGTTACTGTTTTGCAAGGGCACTGTCGCTGCAACTTAGACCAAGCACTGCTCGAGACAATTGTGATTAGTTTAAAGAAATACAAACAAGCCAGAGCATTTTATCCTCCTATAGCAGAATGATAAGGAGCACAGCCCTAAAACAAAGTGTGGAGATTTGTGTGGGTCTGACGGTGCAAGACTAGATGTGGTAAATCTCCTAAATGTAAAATGCCTTGAAGATGAACAAGTTTGTGAATATGTCTGTTCTTTACATATCTTCAGATAAGACATGGGGATAGGGTTAAAAAACACAATCATCTGAAGCTGCTTGATTGTGTGTGTGTGTGTTGTTTCCGTATGTGTGTCCAGTGTAGAGAGTGTGAGATGGAACAAGTGTATCTGACAGGACAGGTGGCTCCATTGTGTCTCAAGACATATCTTCAGCAGTCAGGGTTTATGTGCGTAAGACAGGGAAAGAGACATGGGGGTTTGTCTAAATATACGGCGATAAATGTTTATCCCATGACGTTTCAAAATGTTCATAGTGGCCTCATAAATTAAGTCATAATTTTTCTGACAGTGACTCGCTATTCTGACTTTGACCACCATGAGCAAGACAGGAAAAGGAGGGGCAGAAAGGGATACAGATAGAGGCTTTACTTCCACTTTCCTCCATGGGTGCTTTTATGAAAGTGCATTTCATTCTAAATATATCCCTCATACACCCAGTGCATCAGTAAGAAGCCTTCATATCTTGGTTGTAACACTACTGTGAACCATTTAGATAGGATCACAGGGAGGTTAAGAGGGAGTTAGAAGGGAAAATAAGAGGTCTGGATCACCTTGGGGCAGTTGTATATATCCATGAACATCAAGACAAGTCAAGTTTATATTTATAGCCCTGAGTCACTGCTCTAGTCTCAAAGGGTTTAACAGTGGCCACTTTGAGAAAACAGTAAATGAAAGTGACACCACCCAAACAAACAAGCAAGCAAAAGGTCTGAAGAAGCTTGCGTTCGAGAAATATTCCTTATTTCAAATGAAACAGCATCCTAAAAAATAAAATAGAGGTTTGGCAATTAGGTATGACTAAGGAGTAGGAGTTTCAGTACTGCTCTTCGAGGGCTTGGAAATTGCTAGGATTATAAATTTGTTTGATGTTTGAATTCCTCCACCAGCCATCCATTTACCGTCGCTCATGAGATATATAATCCCTCCAGCATGTTCTGGGTCTACCCTGGGGTTTCTTATCAGGAGGGTTGCTGATGCCGTACCAATCCGCCGGTTGACCTTATGCTCCATCTTACCCTCACTGTGTATACGGTTCTCTGCCATAAAATGGTGTGTGTCTCCTCTCACCAATATAATAATGCATAATTAAAAACTGATTTGAAGGAAAGGAAAATGGTCATTGAAGGGTGTGTTTATCTTACTGTTATTGGCCAGTGTCAACAGCTGTGTCTTATTTGCAACAAAACTGTTGCTGTTAGAAAACTGTATATCATGTCATCATCACATGTGTTTGTGAGGTGCAAATGTTTTCTTTAACTAATGCTCTGGAATCTAATTTGAAGTAGTTTATTTTTCATCTGTTATTCATCTAGTATAACCACTAGATGAATGGCCTCATTTTAGCACCATGTGCTGTGCTGCAATATGCACAACAAGGCACAGTATTGGTTTCCTCTCTATTATCAGATGGTAGAATAGTGTCATTTTCATTGGGATTTAATTTGGCTTGATATTTGTTATTGTTCTATCTACAGAAGATTTTTTCTTTTTAAATTACCCAGTATGGGAAAATGTGATATTTCACTGGCTGTCTACCACACAACCATAATACACAGAACAAACAAGTACGAGCCTTGGTCTGCTAGAAAACATCAGATGTAAAAGTTTCTAAGGGGTTATTCATCTTAGAACAGAGTCTCAAGGTTCTCCACAGCCCACATTACAAAAATATGAGGTCATACTGTTGCAGAAGACACACTGACCCTAATTTCAGACTTCAGTGTTCTGTATCCACACACACCGTATTCAGATTGTACTTGCATACAGATCACAGTTCACACCACGCAATATAAAAATAACCACATACATTCTGCTTCTACACTAAAAATACAGAAGCAATATAGATGCATTTCTATTCTTGGCACACAGACCCACATACAATATTTATATGAGCTACAATTAATAGCTACAGTATACATAAGATTAGTTTAAGAATTGTTCTTCTGAGTTGATCCTGACTGAATGTCCTAAAAGCTCTTTGCAGAGTTCATGAATACAGGTGAAAAGTTTAGAGGCGAGTAAAACCAGGGCAAGAGTATCTGGGGAAACTAATTTGAGCGGCGAAAGTACACAAACAGCTTGTGAAATATCATGAGAGCTGTCTGAGAGGAGGCAGCATTATCTCCAATTAGAGCAGAGCATCTTGTGACTGCAGCTTGCTGTCATGGGTTAACTTGAACAGCACAATGAGGCCCTTTACAAGACTTGCTGCAGACTTGAAGGAGGTAGAATTGATTTTACTTGTTGTGATACTTACTTATTAAAGATATAATCATGCTTATTTTATTATATAAAAAAGCTCAGTTGCCAGTGTCATTAAATCAAACGGGAAAAAGTTTTCCTTAATTCAACTTGACATATTCAATATCATCGAAAACTTTGTGATCTTTAGTCAAATTTAAAAGACAATTCTGTGGGTTTGAATGATGTTAGGCCAACCAAAATGCATTTGTAATGATCCTCCCACTGAGGGCGCTGTGAGCTGGAAGAGGCTTTAGAGCAGCATTTATAACCAGCAGATTTTGGGAAGGAGGTGATGCAGATTGCCAAAGGCAGGGGATGAAGACAAGCAGTGTGTCTGTCTGTGTGTGTGTGTGTGTGTGTGTGCACTGTACACATGTGCATATTAGTGTGTGGTGGGGATATTGTGTTTGACCCTGGAAAGTGGGTGAGGGCAGTGGAGGGCTTGTATGTGTGTGGTCATTTGGGCTTGGAAGAAAATTACAGTATGTTGAAATGCTAGAAACATATCAGAGGGAAGATGGATGGGTAAAGAGAAGGGTGGTTGGTGGTAACACTTCTAACACAGTCTCATCAATTTTTGTAAGAGGTTCGGCTTGTTTTTTATTCCACAGTGCCTAAGGGCACAGTACCAGTTAGATTGACTGACTGCACCAATCTCCAGTGTAGTGGGGTAGCTATAGTAGCATGAGTGAGCAAAACAGCAGTATATCACATTATGATATTACAATATGGTCTTTGCCAGGAAAAGTAGTATAAGGCACGACAATTAGTTGTATTGTCCCACGTAGCAAAATATAACCCACCTTGCATCTAGGATGCCTCACAAGGCCTCGATGGAAAGAGAAGCATTTTATAACTTTTATGCTGTCATTTGTCTAGTTTGACAGCATCACTGAAGTGCTATGTAATGCCTTGGTTGTAGAGATTTCCGATCCAGGAAATCTAGCTCTGGCCCCTCAGTCATGAAAGCTCACAAGTCATGAAAGACTGAGCTATGATCAGTTGGGGTTTAGTATATTGTCTGTCATGGGAAGACCATCATATACTCTGAGACAGTGACCTTCTCAAAAGACATAAATGTCATCTAGTCTGATCCTTGCATTATGGCTTGGTCACACTAACATCTAACATGACAGAGATGTTTCAAGACCAAATTCAATAACAGCTAATGGAATAGTTGTGATAAGTTGATTTGCTCATGGCAGCAAAATAAATCTCAATCATGCTGAGTTAAACTTGTTAGATTTACGTCTATAGACGTAACATATTAATTGTCCAAACAGATTTGACTAACTGTTCTGTCCCTCTGTCTATCTCTCTTCCTTTTACTAGATGTTGGAGCCTAAGGTGGATGCCTCTCAATGTGAGCTGGGTGGAGTAGGAGATCGAGGAGGTGTGTGCCTCCACCTTCCCCCCCGCAGCTCAGAAGGTGAGGAAAGCAGCCTGTACCCATCCAGTCCCTCAGAGCCGCCAACCATGGGCAGTCCTCACCCCTCTGAGCCTCTCACCCCTTTGGATGACATCTACATGCCCCTTGGGGGTCTGGTGGGATCTGAGGAGCGACATAAGGTGCCTCCAACACCACCTCCTTCCACCGAGGGTGAGGATTGCAAGAGTATGGAGGAGATGGAGATCTGGAGAGAGGGGAAGGATGGGGAGAGCAGGAGAGAGGAAGATGAGGAGGAGGAGGAGTATCAGGCCTACAGAAAGAGTCCAGGGAGTGAAGGGGAAGAGAAAGAAGAAGGAGAAGAGGATGAGGGAGAGAGGAATGAAGAGGAAGTCAACCTAAACCTGGTGGTGTCAAACACAGATGAAGACAACGCCTCAGAGCCACCTGACACCAACGCTCCACCCTCCTCCTCCTCATCCTCATTTGTCATCCCCGAGTTGCGCCTTGATCGCTCCTTTAGCGCCGATGCCCTCTCCTCACCCAACACTGACGAAGAAGAGTACGATGAAGATGACGATGAGGAATCCGAAGATGAAGACGATGAAGACGACAGTGACGATGCCTACCTGCAGCGTAGCGACAGCAAGCGCCGCAGCATGGTAGAGGGTGCCACCTGCGAGAAGCATGGAGGAGGTGGGCTCAGTGTGCAGAATTCCCTCCGGAGGCGCACCCATAGCGAAGGGAGCCTCCTGCAGGACCCCCGCACGCAATGTTTCACCTCCGACAACGCCATCAACTGCCTGGAGGCCGGGGGAGCGCACCACAAGGGCGGCTGGACACTCCCATCGCCTAAAACCCTGAAGAAAGAGTTGACCAAGAATGGAGGCTCCATGCATCAGCTGTGTATGCTGTTCTCTGGGAGGAAGGTAAGCAGCTTCACACTGAACAGTTAATACATGATACAGTTATAGAAATACAGTACTTAGAAATTATAGAAAATTCAGCAGCTGCCATGGTTATAATACACTTTATCTACTTGAAGGACTAAATATATTAAAACACACACAAACACACTAGAGATTTGGTCTGAGTCATATGTATAATAGAGCTTTATTCCTATGTGTGTCCTAACTATTGCATCAGCAGTGCTTGAGCGAGTACAGGCCAGTTCACTGGTTTCTGCAAAAAGGGTGACATCAAGTGGTAAAATAGGGCAAGTACACTTTTTTACAATTCTGTAGCCAGTCAAGTATATCTACCAGAAAATGCCATAGTGATTTCCAAAACAGTAGACTTATACATATACATAAACACTAACCATATTAACTGTCTTACATACCGGGACAATCTGAATATACAGTAAATGTATAGCACAAATTTGTATAAATTTATTAATTGCATGATGGATCAACAATTTTCTGCCTAACCGGAGTTTGAAAAATATTTTTGAGAAGAATTTAAGTCTCAAAACATTGTACAAGGATTAATGATATAAAATATTAACAGCACAAGAAAACAAAACAAATGAATGACTACAGACATATTATATTATGTTATTTATATTATGTATATTATGTTATATTATGTATTAAAGTACAAATTGAAATTTTTGAGGTGCACGCTTATGCCATTATGTACATACATAAGCATCTGTAGCAGAGTGATACATTGGATTGACTGATTTAAGGCCTGATGGCTATGTGCCAACTGAAAGAATTCATGCATAAGATAAGATGTTTTGTATTAAGAGTGCTTCATTTTGTTAAAGGTTTGCAGATTTGCAAAATCATTTTATGTCAGCAGTTTGCTTAGTGCTGGACTCTACTGTAATACAAAAGTAAATATATTCTTTATAACTGGATCGCAAATGATTACCTTTCACCTTCTATTTGAAAAGTATTTGGGCAGCGAGTACTCCATCCATTTTAGTGCAGGTAGTAGTTGTTACAGTTGTCCAACAGAGGGAGGCATGCATCACATCCTGTTGGCCCAGCAGCCTCACATTCTCTCTTCACTCTGGCCAAGGTTGCGAAATGAACAATTAATCTCAGTGTGATGCTAGCGTTTTCTTGTTAACTATGAAGTAATGTGTTTTAGAATTTATCTAGAATTATTACACATAATTCCATTAACTGGAATGTACAGGTCATCATTTCTGCAATGAATTCTTCCAACTATTTATAGTAGTTTGAACTTCACACCTGCACACGTATTTCATCAGTGCATTTGGCAACGACTGTATGACTGTTTCTCAAAAAGACAAATGGAAATAAAATAGAAGAGAACATGACAGTGATATCAGAGCTGCACATCCCATAGACTTAATAATACACAAATGGCAGTGCCCACTCTGTCACTGTAGGATATCAGAAGCACTGCTACTTTTTATGTATCTCTCCTTCCACAAGTCTGTCAGCACACTCAGTAGCCTTAAATGGCAGTGTGTGTGAGCTGTGCAGAGGAGGAATGCAGCAGACAGGGCTGGAGCCTATTTGTCTTGGCAGATTCAAGGGTAACTTTACTACCTATTGGCGTCATGGACACAGTTCCTTTGAGGCTTGTGTTTCCATTATTTAAAATGATCTGTCAACCCCCCCTCAATTCATAAATCATGTGACATCTCAAAGTGCAGAACGTGAGTAAGTGGTGTTGGTGTGTGTGTCCAACCTCTGACCAAGAGGATCTTATGGGATCACTTAAGATTGGTAACTTCAAATTTATGTGCCTGCCTTTATGTCTTGACATCTTTTGACATCTTGACAAAGTTTTCAACGTTCCTTGGTGCTCAGCATTATTGTGTTCCAGTAGTGAGAAATCTGGATATAATCAGTTCTTACATATCAGTAGTGTACAAGTTGTATGACTGATGAATGAAAAGGAACAATTTTTCTCAGAAGTTTGGAAAGTAAAAGCTAAATGACAATGAGTTACAAATTCATTGATGTGTGTTCTTAAAGATATTTATTAAAAATATATAATATAACATTTTATCCAATCATTATTTAAGCATTATTTGATATCAATAACACAAGATAAGCCTTAGCTCGCTTGCTAATAGTGTATGCCATAAACTGGAAGTTGTTTTGGCCTCATTAATCATTTAATCACATAGTGATTGACGAAATTTAGTCTATTTATTACTATTATTTGAATTACTTAGTAATGAATACTATGAAATACACACACACACACACACACACACACACACACACACAGACTCACTGTAAGCTCTCAATACAGCAGGGAATCAAGACTCTTCAAATACTTGCACAGTGCTGTATGTGTGGTGCATATACTGTATATGCTGTGCATTGTAGAGACAGGGGAGTGTGACAGAGGAACAGACTGTGAATATTCGAATATTATTTCATAATGTGAAGCCCCCCTCCTCTGTCTCTTTCTGTCTGTCACCTCTCTTTTCTCTTGCCAGGCAGTGTTTACTTGCCCTTTAAAAAGCACCGACTCTGGTCTTGTCTTTCTTTCCGCTCTGCACCTTTTCCTCTCACTTGATGTCTTTAGTGGCCTATCATCAATGCGAGGCGAGCCAGAGACAGACAGAGACAGTTTGTTTGACTAACAGATTTTTCTTGACTACCGCTTAAAGGAAACATTCCTGCCACTGACTAATTGTGTCCGAACTTGCTAAATCAAGCTTGGTTTATATGTCACTTTTCAAAACAGTGTCATAAAGTAATATGTGTTAACCAAAAGAAAACTCAAATTTATTTAAAAAAGGAATACATGCAAAACATAGTTTACAGTAGAATGACAAAAATTGGTTTGGTGTGTCTTGTCTGTGTCTGCATTGTTCAAGACTATATCTTTCATATCAGTATTTAGATTGGGTGTGTTCCAACAATAGGTTTACCACAAAAATGGCTTTGAAAGTAATTACTTTGAAAGGTGTCACTAACAGGTTTTGCTATTGGAAGTCACACATTGTTAAGGGCTTAGAGGGAGGAAAAAAAGAGAAGAATATTGGTCCAAGAATTGAAGAACTGTGGTACACCACATTACTATTTAGCCTTATGGAACTTGCAAAATCATCAGTTTACATAGGAAACCTTCTATTAGTCAAATAGTTACCAGCGCTAACAACTGGCTCAATCTCATAAGGATATGGCACACTCTGCCCATCAAATGGTGAATGAACACAGAGCACCCAGCTACACTGACATTAAGCAGGATATCATTTTCCACCATGTTGAAGAGCTGCTGTTAATGGTCTGTGTAAAACCTCTTCCAAATGACATAGATACCATCCCTGGTTAAAGAAGAAATTAGTTACTAGAGCTGTGGCTGGATTATAAAGGTCAACAAAGTTTTTTCTTTGTTTCTACAGGCACTATAATAGCACCACCAACGTTTAGGTAGTAAAAAAAAAAATATTAAAGGCGTGAGGGAAGTAATTCCACTGATTTCTTTTACAGTTTGTAGCCTCATTGGAACTTCAGACTAAAAACCCTCATTTCCATCACAAGGCGACAAGAGACATGCCGTAAATAGTCATATAAGACTAAACCACTGCATGTTCTTTCCAATCAGACCATTAAATTAAACTCTCAGCTCGCTGTCCAAACCCTCAAATCCTCCCTCTTTTTCCAGACATCTTACCACCCATCATCTTGTTTCAGCATCCACACAGACGCTGTTACAACACGTGTGTGTGTGTGTGTCTGACCCCAGTGCTTTTGGCTTAAGCAGGCCAAACATTTTGTTTATGAGGTCTGAGAGTTAGTTTGAAAACTGGATAAATACCGGGTGCCTTTCCAGACGTTGGGGGGGAAACAATTTTAATGTGTTTACTGATGGTTGTGTGATGGCTTACATTCCTGCATTGTATCAAGGATACACAGGGGTGCAAAGTACAGAATTAAAATAGGTTAGCATGCATTCATGCTTGAAAACAGGTGGGCTAACGGGTGGTGCTGCCTGTGCACAGACACACACACAACAACACCACCACACACACACAGACAGAAAGCTAAATGAGTTGGTATGTTGGAATGGACACCTACAGGATCAATCAGTATGGTACGGTGTTACTCCTAGTTTCTCAAGAAGGGAGTCGCAGGGAGTTTCGTTACAGACAGTGAAGAACAGATGGAAACATAACCTTTAGGATTTTTATAAAATCACTCCGCTATCCTTTTTATTGTACAATCTAACTGCAAAACAGGGAAAAGAAAGGCTGTGGCAATGAGAGGGAGATGAAGTCTCTTGTTTGGTTTGCACAACATTTCAAATTCAACAATCAAGCAGGCAATTTCCATTTAATGTTGGTGCACCATGTATACAATCAGCCCATCTATTAAATCTGTCTGAAACAGACCTGTAGGCTACTGCACAACTAAATGAATGTTGTAATGTAAATTTAATATTTCTGCCTTAGCCTTGTCATAAAAGAAGTGTGAAAAAAATAAAATTAAAATGAATGATTTAGGCTATGGTCAGAACTACAGAAAACACAGCATATTACGCTGTTTGTTATAAAACAACAGGATGAACACTACAGGGTTATCGAACACAAGGCAAACAGTACGCACAGATATCAAATAGAATAAACACCTATGCAAACAGTATGTTGTCATGTGTGTACAAAGTCGACTGTTTTTTGTGATTACTGTAGACTTGAACATCAAATAATAACAGGTTTCTGTACAATAGCATTTATTTATATTTGTTTTACCTTATAAAGACACCTTTTAGATGAAGTGCACAGATATGAGTTTAGAACAACATGTTTGGAATTCAGAGAATAGTATGTCTTCAATTTCCCGGACCTCCGCTAAATGTCCACTGCATTGCGATAAGCAGCACAAACAGTTACAGGAACCTAAACATGCTATTTTAGGCCCACGTAGAAAAATATTTGTAAACTTTGTGTACTGTTAAGTCATCTTCAAGTACCTCAGCTGCATGTCTA